ACTGGGGATCGAGCCCGCAACCTCGGCGTGTGCCCTGACTGGGAATAGAACCGTGACCTCCTGGTTTGTAGGCTGATGCTCGACCACTGAGCCACACAGGCCGGGCTGCTTTTCTTTCTTTCTTTCTTTTCTTTTTCTTTCTTTTTTTAAAATATATTTTATTGATTTTTTACAGAGAGGAAGGGAGAGGTATAGAGAGTTAGAAACATCGATGAGAGAGAAACATCGATCAGCTGCCTCCTGCACACCCCCTACTGGAGATGTGCCTGCAACCAAGGTACATGCCCTTGACCGGAATCGAACCTGGGACCCTTGAGTCCGCAGGCCAACGCTCTATCCACTGAGCCAAACCAGTTAGGGCTTTTCTTTTTCTTTTTTAAGTGATTTGAGACAGAGAGAGAGAGAGAGAGACATCGATGTGAGAGAGATACATTGGTTGGTTGCTTCCTCGAGACGCCCTGACCTGGGCATGTGCCCTGACTGGGAATCTGACCGGTCACCTCTTGCTGTGTAGAGCAATGCTCCAACCCACTGAGCCACACCGGCCAGGCACGTGCTTTTTACCCGGGAGATCTGAGATTCCGTGTAAACAGTGTGGAGTTAGCGCATTCGTTTTCCTCGCTCCGTGGCATCCGGTGGTCCCTCCCCCCCCCCCATAAACTAGCTGCTTCATCTGGGTAGAAGGACAGAGAGGACGTGCGTACGTGCAGCAGGCAGAATGACAGGTTTGGGAAAGTATGCAGGGGATAAAGGTTACAGGTTGCAGACAATGCGGGCTGGGGGAGGGGGGTGGGGTTTGCAAAGGAGCGGTGTCTCCTGGCGCCTCCGGGCCCAGATCACAGGGCATAGGGGCTCGGGGTTGAAAGGGCGGGCGCCTCTGGGACCAGGAGGCTGTAAATCTTTCCGTGATGATGGCAGTTCTCGGGACAGGAGGGCGGGCCGCATTCCGCCGTGGGGGCTCCCATGTCCCGGGGCCCACCAGCCCCGGCCAGGCCAGAATGTGTGCGGTTAACAGGGCCAGATCCATCTCTCGCATCACGGTAGCTGGTCCCCACTGTTCTCCTTCGGCCCCTGACGAGAGGGGTGGGGGTAGGAAATAACTCAGTAACCCGAGGGGCTCCCAGGAGCGCAGGCATCAAACCTCGCCGTCCCCACGGCCGCATTGCCTTGAATTTCCGCGTCTGAACTTGTCATTTTGCCCTAAAAAGGCCTTCCCTGTCTCTGGGGTATCGTTTCCGATACGGTTACCCACGTGGCACCCGTTCACAAAGTTATCTTGTCAATAATTCTGACACAACATTTATTTTTGTCCGTAGCTCAAAATCGTTTGCCGTCTCATAATTTTGTAATTTTCAGTTCTGCTTGTTTTAATTCTGAGCCGTTGGAATGAAATTTTCAAAGCTGTTGTTTCATAAAAATATTTATTTTCATGTTACCTGAAACGCTTTTTATTGAAGTCAACTACATTTTTATTGTCTCTCTTTTTTTTTTACCTTTCCTTTTCATTTTTTAACTTTTTTTTTTTTAAGGCAAATATATTTAAAAGACTCGCACAAATGTCCTAATGGCAGAAGAGGTCGCCTGGGGGATCCTCTGGAGTCGCCCACACAAAACCCCTTCCCATCTTGTTTTATGCTTTAACATTAACCTCATGCTATCCGTGGTGCTGTAAGAGGGTTGTGTTTCTTTTGTGTCTAAGGATTTCTCGCCCTCCCTCCAAAAGTCTCATTTTCCCAGAGCAGCACATGCATTTTTTTTTTCCACGACGGGGCAGGACTCTATCTGCCATTTCAGTGCAAACGCCATAGTTCAGCACTCGCTTTCCATCAAGGGCTTGTGAACGCGGCCTCGGGGTGTCACGGTTTAAGAAAAACCCTCAGGACAGAAGTCCGCCCTCAAACAAAAGGGACGTCCTCTTCTCCTCCTTTCTTCCCCCAAACTTTCCCCCTAAAACCAACCCCGGTGTCTGAGAAAACACCCCGTGTGTGCGCCAAGCTCTCCCTGCTTTTCTTTGCTGCTTTGTTTCAAAAAGGATCCCACGCCACGGCTGATGGTGGGGTCGAGGCCCCTCTTGCCCACCGAGCAGATGTTCCTGGGGGCCGGCGTGGGGGGGCTGAGACTCTGCAGACCTGGTGGTTGGAATGTGACTGCTTTCTTCTCGTCCTCCATCCTCCATCCTCCCCCTGTCTGTCCCCACACTTCCGGTGGGGGAGGGGGCTGGGGTGGGTCCCGGCTGGGGGATGGGTTTCCACCTAGGGGTCTGAGCCTGGCCTTCTTTGTTCTTTGCAGCCAGAGGGATACGGGGCGGCGAGTCCCCATGCTGGGCAGGTTGGAGTGAGGCCGCAGCCGGAGGCGGGAAGGGCCCACCGAGGTGGAGAGAGAGCGGGGCCGGTGCAGGAGAGAGAGGAGAGAGAGAGCCAACCTTCCTCAAACACTGGGCATGGACCCCAGCACTCTGTTCTCTGAAACATCCTTCTTTTAAAAAAAAAAATATATATATATTTTTTGATTTCAGAGAGGAAGGGAGAGGGAGAGAGAAAGAGAAACATCCATGATGAGAGAGAATCATGGACCGGCTGCCTCCTGTACGCCCCACACTGGGGATGGAGCCCGCAACCCGGCATGTACCCTGACCGGGAATCGAACCGTGACCTCCTGGTTCATAGGTCAAGGCTCAACCATGAAGCCACGCCGGCCGGGGCTGAAATACGCTTCTTAGTAAAGAAATCCTGATCGGTTTCTATGAGTTTCTTGATGTCATCGGTTAGTCATTCACTAACTAATGATACTGCAAATGGAGTCTCTTGTCTCCTTTCTGTTAACCTCATACAGGATGGCGTTTGGGACGGACAGAGTCCCTCCAGCAACCTTTTCTCTGCCATTTGCTCGTCTGCTTTTTCTCTGTTACCATCTCTAAATCCCAAGGACTGAAAACTTCCTTTAAAAAGAAGAATTACAGAGATCCCCCCATAGGATGTTGTCTCCCTGCCATTCCTGTCCGCCAGTCTTCCTCTCCTTTGTATGGTGACCTTTTTAGGACATTTTTAAAATCCTTTCTGATCATTTCCCCCCCTTAATTAACTTTTTTTATTTTAGAACAGTTTTATATTTACATAATTATTTCAGAGAGTTCCCCTGTAACATATACACTGAGTGGCCAGATTATTATGACCAGCCAGATTATGATGACCACCCCATCAGTACAATGAAGTGAATTAGTTATGCAAATAATAATAATAATAAAACCTTGAGAGTATTTGCTTAGGAAGTTTTCAATATTCAGTATTTTTGGAAGTGTCAATGAAGTACTGATGGGGTGGTCATAATAATCTGGCCGGTCATAATAATCTGGCCACTCAGTGTGTGTGTGTGTATATATATATCAAACATCTTACATTACTGTGGTACATTTGTTATAGTTACTAAACCAATATGTTGGAATCTTATTATTAACTGAACTCTATACTTCATTCAGATGTCCTTGGTTTCTTCATCATGTCCTCTCCTTGTCCCAGGATCACACAGTACCTTCAGCACACCCATCTCAGATCTCTTCTTTTAAAAAAAAAATATTTTATTGATTTTTTGCAGAGAGGAAGGAAGAGGGATAGAGAGTTAGAAACATCGATGAGAGAGAAACATCGATCAGCTGCCTCCTGCACACTCCCTACTAGGGATGTGCCTGCAACCAAGGTACATGCCCTTGACCGGAATCGAACCTGGGACCCTTCAGTCGGCAGGCCGACGCTCTATCCACTGAGCCAAACCAGACAGGGCTTTTTTTTTTTTTAAATATATTTTTATTGATTTCAGAGAGGAAGGTAGAGGGAGAGAGAGAGATAGAAACATTAATGATGAGAGAGAATCATGGATTGGCTGCCTCCTGCACACACCCCACTGGGGATGGAGCCCACAACCTGGGCATGTGCCCTTGACCGGAATCCAACCCAGGACCCTTCTGTCCACAGGTTGACGCTTGATCCACTGAGCCAAACCGGCCAGGGCTCAGATCTCTTCTTGCTTGTGAGAAGACTTTGTGTTTTGTTGTCTTAATTTCACTTTTTTCAATGACAGTTTACACTCAATATGATCAGATTTAGTTGCCTTGACAAGCCTAAGTGGTTACCAGGCAGGGATTTTTGTAGAATGTCCCTCAAGTGGAATTTTGAAAATAGTCACTTAGAATGCCCACCTCCTAAAACCTGCTTTCTTCAAAATCACACCGTTCAGTGTGTTTGGGGTCCTCACAGTGAGTGTTTGACAGACACCCCTATGTTCTTACCATCCTGTAAGGAGAACCCAGCACCCGTCCCTCCCCCATGACCCACCCATCACTAATCCGCTTTCTGTCCCCATGGGTTTGCCCATTGTGAACGTCTCATATAAGTGGATTCCATCAACATGTGATCTTTCGTGTTTCCGTCACTTAGCGTAACATTCTGGGGGCTCGCTCATTCCCAGGTGGGAGGACCACTGTCATAGGAGGTACAATCCTAAGGGCCAACCCTTCTGTAGAGTGTTGTTGTTTTTTTAATCTTAAATCTAATAATATTACATCCAATGAACATTAATATCTCAAGAAAAAAATGATTTTAAGTATAATGATGTTAACCAAAACTGTGCTAACATAGTATAATATCACACAAGTTGTAGGAAATATTAAAAATCTGCAAATAACAGGATTACTTCTATTATATTCTGAAATATTTTTTCTCCTCTGCCTCTATTTTTTTTTAAGTTTTAATAACATTTATTTATTCTATTCAGACGTATTTTATTTTCCACCACTTTGGTAATGAAATTAAAAAATTGTCTACAAAGAACCAAGGGAAAGTGTACATTAAAACAGCAGAGAATTCTAGAATGGGCCAAGTCAGTCAGCACTTGACAGTAGTGAAGATAGAGAAAACAATAAAGACAATTTATTTGCTCAGCAAACGGTAAAGTAATTTTGTTTCCTTGCACTAATTGAAACTAACTGTAAATACTTTCTTCAAAAGGCCTGGTGTATATCATTAAGGACAAAGACAATGTACCCTTCGTTTTTAAGGTAAGCCTTTCACCTTTGTTAAATATTCTTATGTTAATGACCTTGAGCAGATAGTCACAATGAGTAGGAGAGATAAAAAAATTATGATACTACCCTGCGGTAAAAAAAGGAGTTCTTACCATTTGCAACAGCATGGATGGAACTGGAGAGCGTTATGCTAAGTGAAATAAGCCAGTCGGAGAAAGATAAGTATCCCATGATCTCACTCATTTGTGGAATATAATGAACAACATAATCTGATGAACAAAAACAGATCCAGAGACAGAGAAGCATCGACCAGACTGTCAAACCTCAGAGGGAAGGTAGGGGAGGGTGGGGGTCAGGGGAAGAGATCAACCAAAGGACTTGTATGCATGCATATAAGCCTAACCAATGGACACAGACAACAGGGGCGGGGGAGGCATGAGTTGGGGGGTAATGGGGGGATAAGGACACATATGTAATAACTTAATAAAGAAATTTTTTAAAAAAATTATGGTATTTGGTAGCAGCAAGAAGAAAATATGTACGTAGTTTACCATAAACAAGTCATATTTTTTGAAAAAGGGAAACGTGTGGTCCACATGTCACCTATTGAATGTGTAATCTTGCTAATTACTTAGTATTTGGAAAAAGGCTTTGAATATGAGAAGTTCTGGCTCTATGTTTGTTCATCAGTTTATGTTGTTCGTTTTATTCCACAAATGAGTGAGATCATGTGATATTTCTCTTTCTCTGACTGACTGATTTCGCTCAGCATAATGCTCTCCAGGTCCATCCACGCTGTTGCAAATGGTAAGAATTCCTTCTTTTTTTTACAGCAGCGTAGTATTCCATTGTGTAGCCCAGGGGTCCTCAAACTACGGCCCGTGGGCCACATGCAAATACAAATATTGTATTTGTTCCCGTTTTGTTTTTTTACTTCAAAAGAAGATATGTGCAGTGTGCATAGGAATTTGTTCATAGTTTTTTTTTTTAACTATAGTCCGGCCCTCCCAACGGTCTGAGGGACAGTGAACTGGCCCCCTGTTTAAAAAGTTTGAGGACCCCTGGTGTAGATGGACCACGGTTTTCTAATCCACTCATCTGCTGATGGGCACTGAGGCTGTTCCCAGATCGTGGCTATGGGGAATTGTGCTGCTGTGAACATAGGGGTGCCTATGTCCTTTCCGATTGGTGTTTCTGGTTCCTTGGGATATAGTCCTAGAAGTGGGGTCGCTGGGTCAAACGGGAGTTCCATGTTTAGCTTTTTGAGGCAACTCCATACTGCTTTCCCTGTAGAGCGTGTATTCCGTATCTAGACCCTGCTCTCAATGTGTGTGTTGACTCAGTTAATTGTCAACAATCATCGACTGCCATTCATACAAGTCTGTCCCATCTTACAGGCAGGAAAAGAAGGCACAAGAAGCCAGTCCGCCCAAGGAGGCATTGCCGTCAGAGCTAGAGCGTGAGTCCGCCTGCGTCTGTGCCCCAGGGCTTGTCCCGGCGGGGGGGGGGGGGGGGGGCGGCTGTAGAGGTGTGTGCTTTCCTGCTCTCTCAGTGTGCGTGCCCACAGAGCCATCCACGCACGACTGATTGATTGATTGATTGATTGATTGTCCATCGCGTTTTCCTAGCCATCCCCGTGATCGGAGTGGACTTCCTATGCCTAGGGCATTGCCTCGCAGTCGTCACTAGGCCAGGGAGGCATATTTTGTCATGTTCTAAACGCCTTCACATGTTACTTCCCTTGAAATGTAAGAACTACTAGAAAGGGCAATTTTTTTTTTGTCATCAAAAACTGTTCAACATTGATCATTCCCAGGGTTCAGCCTAAACCAGGGGTCCTCAAACTTTTTAAACAGGGGGCCAGTTCACTGTCCCTTAGACCGTTGGAGGGCCGGACTATAGTTTAAAAAAAAACTACGAACAAATTCCTACGCACACTGCACATATCTTATTTTGAACTAAAAAAACAAAACGGGAACAAATACAATATTTGTATTTGCATGTGGCCCGCGGGCCGTAGTTTGAGGACCCCTGGCCTAAACCTTCCTTCTTTACGCCGGCCTTATTATATTTTATTGTCTCTGTCTATCCCTTCGGGGAGATAACCATTGGGTTGGGGCTCAGGGTGAGCCCAGGGGATGGAAGTGGAGGTGTAACCAGACAACCCAGGGGTCCGGGCTGCCAGTCACTGCTTGAGGCCACTGATCAGAGACGGGGTTGGATCCTAGGTGAGCGCTGATTCCAGTCCTCTGGGCAGCACAGGAGAGCAGCCGGGCAGCCACAAACATCTTCTCCCCCCGCCCTCCCCCCCTGCCCTCACCATAAGCCAGCTGCTTCTTTTGGGTAGAAGGACAAAGATTACGTGCGACAGTAGGAATTGCAGGTATGGAAAAGCAGGCAAGAGGGAAAGGTTACGGGTTACAGGCCATGCGGGCTGCGGGCTGGTCTGCTCAGGGCGGGTGCCTCCGGGCGCCCCAGGACCAGATCCCAGGCCATAGGGGCTGCGGGTTGCAAAGGCCAGGCGCCTCTGGCACCAGGTAGTTTCAGCCACGAGGCTGTACATTTTTCCCTGATGATAAGCGGTTCTCGGAAAAACAGGGTGGGCTGCATTCCAACGCGAGCTGCCCCGTCCCTGGCTGGAACGGGCTTTTCTCTAACCGGGACAGAACCATGGGGGTGAACAGAGCAGGATTAATAGGAATATTTCTGATGAGGGCAGCGGGCCCCCACTCTTCTCCTTCTGCCCCTCACTGTAACCACCTCCCCCAAGGCACACAGTCCCCAGCATTTCACGGTGACCGACCCCTGCACGGGGATCGCTTGGGTGTGAGATCATTGGCCACGAGCTTGGGGGGATGGGGAAGGGGTCCAAGCCACTTAATCCCCCAGCGGACAATTGAGAAAAAAGGGAAAGGTATGCAAAACACTATGCAGATGAGGCTGTGGAATCCGGGGCGCAATTTCCCCTGGGGCTTGGGACGATGTCCCAGGCGATGCAGATGCAAACATCCTGGTTCCCAAGCGCCCATGACACCCCAGGGGCACTATTGGGGGTGGGGGTGGGGGAGGTAAATCCTTGTTCACTCGTGTTGCAGGGAAGTGCTATGCCCCCCGTCCCTGGATTATTGATAGACATTCGAATGTTTCCAAGTAAAGGCTCTTGTTTTACAAAGGGATCTAAGTTCTCCCCCCCCCTCCCTTTTTTTGGTGGTTGGCGAGTTTGATGGAATCGATGGTCTTGGCGTTCGTTTGCACAATTTAAAGTAGAAAAAAGGGGAACGGGCGGCGGGGATCTCGCTGAATGGGAACCACGCGGGACCTGTGGGTTCTGGGTTCTGCGGGGCGGGGATTGCAATGCCTCGCATGTCGGTGTCCATCGCTGTCGGGCACCGAGGGCACCGGGCGGGTGGGTGT